TTTTTTTTCTAAAACCCGAAAACTAAAAGAAATTTCGAAAAATGTTATTCTTGATAAATGGTCACATTTTAATTGGACTTTACGCTACACTAATTATTTTTTTTTTGTAAAGTGGTTAGTTTACGAGAAAAACGCTTCGTTCCATACTTTTATTCACCTGGTATATGAGATTTAACGTAAAGTTAGATTGTATATTGTTGCACTAAATTGAATAATAACATAGCTCATCTAACTAAGACAGAAAAAAAAGTTATTACCTGTCTCTCGCTTTCAACAACTGTTACACAAACCACCACCTACCTATTTTATATCGGATCGTGTGCATTTATCGAAAATTTTATCGCCGTCTCTGACCACTGCTTTCGGCGCTGGCCGGCACTTGGATCCACACAATTTATTAAAATTTAGAACGGCACTCAACAAAATAGAACAAAAATAGGCACTACACATTCAACTTGATCACTTTTGAATAAATCCCGTGACCCCGTAATTCTTTTTAATCTTGTTCTAAAATAAATTTATCCAAAACGTCAAAAGTAAATCATCTGCCGCATTTTTAATAGCCCCCCAGCCATAATAAAACCTATATCAGATGATAGAATCATTCTTTTAAATTATAAAAATGTCTAGCTTTATTAGCACAGATTTCTGGAATTGGCCGGGTTTTGCACTCAAGGGATACATGTTTTCTACTCGAATTAGAAAAGAACAACACTGTCACGAATTAATAATTGTTACATTTTCAATTTTCGAACAGTGGCAGGCACGTAACTACAGGGGGGCCTGGGTGGGCCAATTCGTTTTTTATAGGTTGTAGTGTAAGTGTAACAGTTTCATCAACATACAATTTATTCGCTGCTTCGTCAGGATTTGAAGGTTTACGTAAATTGTATATACGTTTACGTTGCACATCTATGTCACCAACATCATTTAAAATAAACGGATTCTTTAGATCGGTAGAGGTAGGGAAGGAACGTCCGAATTTGTCGATACCCATTTTTAAAATGTAATCAGAAAAAAATATTTAGGTTTATATAATAACATTAGCTTCTCTCAGATCTTTCAAGATTGATATAATTTCATTATTATGATTGGTATGACCTGCTTGTTGTGATGCTAATAAAAGTTTATCCACTAACTCATTAGGATCATTCCAATAAATGTAATCATTTTTATCTGTAGAAAAGCTCATTAAACCTGAACCTTTATGTATTGAAGATTTTTTTAACTGTTTATTTATAAATTTATATTTAAAACTTTTATTTCCAGCAAACTGTTGTGTTTTATCATAATTTCGATGTAGTAAATTGGTCTCTCTTACAATTTCTAAATAATTCACTAAATCATGTTCATTATATTGTAGGGGTTTTTTGAAAAAAAATGAGCTGTTTCAAACCAGAAGTTAATTCATAAACTTTATCATTTATAAAAATATGTTATTTATTTAATGTAAACGGTGAATTACCAATTTTCCAAGTGTTTTCTTCTTTACAGTAATAAGGTCCGTATTTAGTATCAAGATTTTGACTATCTATGTCTAACAAAGCGATAAACTTTTGTGTTGATAGTAATTCTCTATTTGATTCAGTCACTTGTTGTTGTTGCACATCTTCTAAGTCTTCATCACTTGTGATTTGATTGGATGTAGTTGCTAAATTAGACATTTCTACTTCATTACCTAGGTTTTGATCAAATGAATCACTTAATTCAGATAATATTTGATCTTGTAATGGTGTACTGCTTCTTTCAAGAAAGCTAACTTTAGGTTCAGGTTTAATTTTACTTTTTAATTCTTTATATGGTGATTTATTATTATTATATTATTAGATTTTAACTCTTGATATTTTTTACGAATCGTTTTTTGCGTTTTTTTAATATCTTTAACTAATTTTTGGTTCATATTATTTTAACTTTTTTAGGAATTTTACCACAGCACAAACAGTTTAGGAACAGCGTTGATGAACAGCAACAGCTACAACAATGTTAACAGCCAAACAGTTTACGAACAGCGTTTAAATAATATTGTTGATGCTGATGAACAGCAACAGCAACAACAGTYTTAACAGCTTGCTGTTCACTGATATAATGCTGTTAATAGCAATTGTTTTTTGTTATTTATAATAAAATAAATGTGTCAAATCCTTTTCTATAACGTCCCATTTCTATTGAACAATCTTTGTTAATACATAAAAATCCATAATTATCTTTCCAACATTCGCTACACATTTCAAGAAACTGTTTGAAACACATATCTGTATTAACATGATCATCATATATATGTTTTAAATTTAAGTTATCTTGTTTAAAGACAATAATAAAGTTTGCATTGTCACGAATTAAATGTTTTGGAATGTGAGTGTATGWTTGACTTAAATAAAAACTGTCGATATCTTTATGTCGTCCCATACAGAAATATAATCTCATATTATTTTGTTTTTCGCAAGTGACGTCGTCAAATATAATCACTGAATTTGGTTTTGCTTCATCCGGAGATAGTACAGTGTCATTTTCACTAAACGTGTTATATCCAATACCTCTAATACCAGTAAGCAATTTATTAAGATATTCGTACTTTGGTTGATACAATGATTTCGAGTAAACGTAAATATTTTCAAATTTTAGTCCATTAGGATGTTCAGTTAATGTTATAAGTAGATTTGTCTTTCCACAGTTCGATGGTCCTACAATAATTGCTCGTATACTGTTGGGTAATAACTTACTATGTTTAAAATGTGTTTTGATATTTTGATTTATATCTACATTTCGAACAGACATCTTATCATGTTGTGGTATCAAACGCATTTTAGTAACTGCAAAGAAGTATATATGTGATAAGCTATTTAAAAATAAATCAGTATATATATAATAATCTTATAAACAACATCCGTCAATTAATGATTGATCAGAGAAAAAAATATGGTATTCGTCATTCGACAGTCGTTGGTGAAGGTTTAGTAAACAGTTTAATTAATAAATTACCTATTGAATTACACCTGCCTGGATATCAGTACTGTGGTCCCGGAACAAAACTACGTGAACGTTTAGCTAGAGGAGATCCTGGTATAAATCCTTTAGATAAAGCATGTAAAGAGCATGATATCGCATATTCAAAATCTAAAGAAACATCAGTAAGAAATCAAGCTGATCTTCTGCTTGCTGAAAGAGCTTGGCAAAGAGTTAAAGCAAGAGACGCTAAACTAGGAGAACGAATAAACGCATGGTTTGTAACTAATGCTATGAAAGGAAAGGCAAAGTTCGGAATGGGATTAAAAAAGAAACAAAATAACAAGAAAAAAAATAAAAAGTCTCGAGATGTTAAAAATTTTAAAAAATCGAACAATATGCAAAATGCGATTAAAGTAGTTTTAGCAGCAGCTAAAGATAATATGGAAACACAAAAAATTAAATTACCTCGCACACGAGTGATACCTTTTCCAAAAGTAGGTGGTCTCCTTCCTTTATTACCAATATTTGCCGGTTTGTCTGCAATGGGCGCATTGGCAGGAGGTGCAGCTGGTATCGCAAAAGCTATTAATGATGCAAAACAAGCTAGAAAACAATTAGCTGAAAGCGAACGCCACAACAAAAAAATGGAAGCAATAGCGATAGGAAAAGGACTATTTCTTAAACCATTTCGGAAAGGACTTGGTCTCTATTTAAATCCAAAAAACTTTGAAATATGCTACCAGCGAGACCCCTTAATGAAATCGATTTATATAAAGTTGCAAGACACATACCAAATTTTAGAGGTGTTTTTATGTTAAACAAATTACCGTTAACACCTCATCGAACAGAATGCGGAATTGTAAATTTAGATCGGTCAGATGGAGTAGGAACTCACTGGGTACGTATAGCATATTATAAAAAAGGAGATCAAATCGATTATTTCGATAGTTATGGTATGAGATTACAGATATTGCTGATTACATTATAACAAAGCTGAAGCAATCTCATACTAAACCTGTAATTACTTTAAAACCTAACACTAACACTCTTAAAACAGAAATTAAAGCAACAGAAACAGTTTTCTTTAATAAAAAACGAACAATTGGAGGATTGTTAGGATTCACAAGATGTGAACTGAAACCAAATATAACACATGCATCAGATTTACCTGTGAACATAAACAGGGTGAATTCTATTCGTGTCGAGTGTAATATAGTAACAGGTTCTTATGTGAATAATAAACTAGTTCATACAATTCATGAATTTTCTCCCAATGTTTCACCTGGATATAAAATAAACTAAGTTCCAACAAAAATTATTTATCTACCCGTAAATGTGAATACGATAAGATCAGTTGTGATACATTTAGTTGATCAAGATGGAAACTTGTTAGATTTTCGAGAAGAAACAATTACAATAAGGTTGCATTTACAACCAAGTGTTTAAGAAAGGACGTCATTGTAATTATAAAACAGGAATTTCAATTTCTAAGTCAAATCTAACACTTCCTCAGTGACTATCAAACGATTAATATCTTCTCTTATAAAAAATGTTAATTTTTAATCATGATCGAGACGTTAATGTCCTTGTACATCATCCAGAAAAATTAGTGTTGTTGTGGAATCGAAAGAAGCAACAACAAAAAAACCAAATCATACAAAGAGTTCTTTATATTTAAGTGAAGAAAACAAACAGTTTTTAAAGACATTAGGATTAACTTTGGTAAAATGAGTGATTTGTTAGAAATTTCTGCAATGCCTCAGTATGATGAATCGATAACAAGGAAGACATATCATACTTATTCGCCATTTACAGAGTCATATAATCTTAGTGATACGATTCGCATTGCTATACAAAATCAAGATTTAATTTTACTACCATCCCAAAGTTTCCTTTATGCTGAAGGTACTTTGTTAAAAAAAGATGGCACTTTTGTTGACACGTTACAATTTAACAACAATTGTGTAGCTTTTATATTTAACGAAATATGTTAAGAACTCAATGGTGTGGAAATTGACCGTTCACGAAATTTAGGAATAACTTCATCTTTAAAAAACTACATTTCCTYTGGTCCAAACGAAAGCGATAAACTACGAAATGCAGGATGGAAACTAGAAGATCATGGAGCTATAAAACTAACAAATGGAAAATTTAATTTTTGTGTTCCTCTAAATAAGTTATTAGGATTTGCTGAAGATTATAATAAGATAATTCCAAATGCTAAGCATGAACTAATTTTAATTAGAGCCAATTCAAACAATAATGCTGTACGTTTAACTGGTGTTGATTTTGTATTTAATATCAGTYAGATTACATGGAAAATACCACATATTTTACTTAATGATTCTGAACGTTTGAAGTTATATCAAACAATTAAAAGCGGTCAACMTCTTCAAATGAGTTTTAGAAGTTYYGATTTGTACGAATATCCCAGTGTACCAAAATCTACTCACAACGTTTGGCGAATAAAAACTAGTAATCAACTAGAGAAGCCAAGATTTGTAATTTTTGCTTTACAYACAAACAAAACAGACAAGACAGACCAAGATGCAAGTCAATTTAATCATTGTAATCTTACTAGTGTACAAGTACAKTTAAATTCTGAAACCTATCCATCTGAAAAATTCTATWCATRATTTGAGGAAGATCGTTTTGCACTCYTATACGAAKTGTATGCAAGATTTCAAGAATCATATTATGGTTTCAAATCATCTCCGCTACTTGATGTAAATAAATTCAAATCTGTTGCTCCTATTGCGGTTATTGATTGCTCGCATCAAAATGAAGTAATTAAAAATGGACCTGTGGATGTTATGATCGAATTCGAAACCAGCGACGGTGGTATAACTAATAATACTTCAGCATTCTGTCTACTATTACATGACAGAATAATTGAATATAATCCATTAAGTGGCGACACCAGAAAACTAGTATAAAAATAGTTAAGTTAGAATGTAGTGTAGAAGTGTAGGAAATCTATGAAGAAATTAATTAAAACAAATATACCTATAATATTTTTTAATTCTTTTTAATTTTATACCTATTACATTTTCATTAAATCTATGTTATAATGTCCTCAAGCATAGACAGATTGGTTGTTCGAAGTAAGAAAAGGAAATGAGATAAAATATCAACTGTAAAACATTTATTTCGGTAAATTCTGAATTACATATTTATAAATAAATTGTACTTTATTAAGACTACAAATACATGTTTTATTTCTTAAATTATGGTGAATACATAATGGAAGTTGTGGTTGCAACTGTGGACAAAAGTTTGTTTTTTCCAAATTGATGATTCTAGGATAGTAGTCTTTCGAATCGAAAAATTCTCTTAAAAAAATCTCTTTAATGTGGCCTTTTACATAAATGATATCAACAATCTCATCAATAACATGTTCTTCTAATATGTTACAGATATTTTCATAATCGATATTTCCACTGTTGTAACGTAACAGATGATGATTCAATTCACTTGTTTTTTCACATCTGCACTTAGTTCACGAAACGGTGTTGGTGATTTAAATAAATAATGACCGGTTCGATGACCATCAAATATGGTTAGTTCTTTAGCGATGAATTCAGGTATACAAAACCCTTGAGCATCAATCACTATAATCTTCATGTTGAGGAACTGATTTTATTTTATGTCTGTTTAATTCACTTCTACGACTGAAACACTTGACACATAATAGGAGTAGCTTGTTCTTGACGATTAATAAGAAATCGTACGATCTGATTTGCTTTTATACTAGCAAATATCCGTACCATGAATACAATTTGTATGTGTAAAGGTTATTTGAGTTCAAAAATAAGGAAATATTCATCTTAAACTAGACAAAAGATTATTTGAGTTCAAAAAGATCATTAGTACGTGTGAAGGTTATCTGAGTTCAAAAAAATATGGAAATATTCGTTTTAAACTAGTCAAAAGGTTATTAAACGCAATCCACCAAGTATTTTTCCTGAATCCGGTTAGAAGGTTATTTCAACACGATATCGGCTTTTCCATGGGATGTGAGTGGGGACCTTTAAATAAATATAAAATATAGCAAGAATCGATTTAGTCTTGCATCCTGCTGGAAGAGTGTATATTTGATCGGATAAATTCTAAAATTTATCAGTTAACCAAACAACTGTGAAGTTTCTGCATCAGTGCAACAGTTCTTGTTAGTACGAGGCAAAAAAAATAATAATAAACATCAAGATGAACAGCACCAATCAAAAGAAGACGCAATCCATCAAGACAAGTAAGAAAAGCAAAAATATTTTAGAAAAATTTAATGCGTTGGGGGCCTACGTCTGGCTAAATTTATCGACGATGGAGCAAAATAAATTGTATCGACTAACTGGTATAAAACGACAGTCTACCAAGTTTGGTGATCGACTCATGGCCGAATTGGATGGAGTCAGTAAATTGTACCTACCTGAGAGGTACAATGCTTTCACCGATCGCCAATTGCAAGATTTTAATGGGGCAAATTATTTCTTGGTTAACAAGGGTTTAGAAGGTAAATCCTATAAACTAATTTTGAAATCATCGGCGGACATCGAAGTGCCGAAATCAGCCGATTTAATTGAAGTCGCTTCCGAAATAGAAATTGGCACCTCGACCTCCACTCAGGACACCGAGGAGTCCGACTTGGAGGAAGAAGACGCCACCACGTATTACACCCAAAAAAATACCAATATACTGTAAGTATTTCGAAATTTTCAAATACAAACACACAGTCAATTTTTTTTTTTAATATTTTATTTATTAGTAACACATACATTATTTTTATTAAAATTAAACGTTCTTAAATACAATTTAATTATTATTTTTTTAATTTTCTCCTCAGATAAAGCAATAAGCGAACAAACACAAGTATCCGGACCATCTTCAACTTCTTCATCATCTTTCGACCATGGACATCTAACGTAATGTAAGCCAAAAGATGTCAATTTTTCCTTTCTACAGTCAACCTGTTGCAACATCTGTTGAAATCGAACGAATTCATGACGGTGAGCAGGCAAGATTGCATCTCCATAGAGATGCAAAAATTCGTTCACATGCATCTTTCACGAATGCTTAAAACAAACTGATGTAGACACTTTAAGAAAGTTGTTTGTTGGTTCGGATACATATAGGTGTGGTATACAGTGTAAATCTTAATTAATTAATACTATGTATTACATAAAAAAATAAAAAAATAAATAAAAAAACTCTCTCATTGGTTCTATCCCACCTGTATCACTTCCTGCATCATATGATCACAGTGCTGCGTGCGTCTAACAAAATTTCGAGCAATCTCATTGGTCGGCAGCCATATTGTAACATGCCGCTCCCCCCCTTCCTCTAGCGTGCCTAACAAAATTTTCGAGAACTCTCATTGGTCGACAGGTGGGGACTTGCACGCCCACATCGTGCCTAACAAAATTTAAAGCATTCTCATTGGTCGAGAGGTGTGGCTAAACGAGCCTTACAAATTCTCGCGCTTGCGCAGAACAAAAAACAACGCTGATTGGCTCCCCACCAACGAAAATTAACACAAAACGTCGCCATTTTTACCCCCACCACACGCCGAGGCTTCTCATTGGTCGAAACACATTGGAAGCCACGCCCACATCCGGCCCCCGTCATACCCCCACAACAATTTGGCTCCGCCCCGTTCCTAATTTTGTGGTCCAGAACATACATGGCTATACTCTACTATGGTTAAAAACCCTAAAAGTCGAAAACAGCAAATTAAAGAATTCTTATCGTCTGCTCCTGACAAGGAATACCTATTTACAAAGGTAAACTATAATACCAAATTAAATTAAAATTAAGTACAAATATTTTTTTTATTTAAGTAAATTTTTTGAGGTGATCGTAGAAAAAGTATAGTATGTAACACGTGAATAAACTTCCCTAGACATTCGTTTTGTTAAACACTCGCTCCGCTGCGCTTCGCTCGTGCCTAATATAACTCATATTTAAAGTGGCGTTTATAACACTTGTTACATAATATACTGTTAATTCGTGAATGTTTTTCGGAGTTGGGAACTCTAATATAGCTTTCATTTTTAATTTCGTTGGTTGTTCGCTATCACAAGAAATTGTGTAGCCTAAGAATTATCAACTTCTTTTAGCTCAAATAAATACGCATTTACGCAGTTTTAGGGTTAACTTTGCTTTTTAAACTGTTAAAACCATTATTAACTTGGATAACATTTCTATTTAATCTTTGGCACCAATTAAAATGTCAATATAAATCATGCACACCTCATTTCTGAGTAGACCAAGAACTATATCCATTAATCGTCAAAGCTCATACAGACCATTTGTTAATCGAACATTTTCAAACTAGCCTGTCTCGTCTATAGTTATAAGAGCAGTCTTTTTCTTAGATTTTTCATCCAAAGGCATTTGCAAATAACCGTGAGAAAGATCTAACGTCGCAAAATATTTTTGATTTACTCAACAACTCGAACTGTTGATCAATACTGGGAATTGGAAAGGGAACATTTTTAATTTGTTTATTCAATCTCCTGTAGTCAACAACTAGTCGAGCTTCACCACTTTTTTTGGACTAAGACGACCTGGCTACCATACTGGCCGTTTATCTCTGTCACTATACCATTTTCCATCCAATCACGGACAATTAAATTTTTTAATTGTTCGATCTCGCAGACTTGCTCGATATGGTTTGGCACTTACTGGAATTCTCGTATCTCTAATTTCTATATTTATCACATCTGTGCATCCTAGCTCTCGCAAAACAAGACTTAAATTCGTTGAAAAGCTTTGTTAGTTCGTGATTAATTTCGGATGGAGTTGGTCTTCCGTAATTGCAGACTTTTCTGACACACCTAAATTGTCCGACGTTTCCCTGTGTTCATCGAAAGTAGTTTCTGAGTTTGAAAAAGCGAAAAAATTTGCTTGTCACTCACTTTAAAATAAATTAGGTTCTTATTTTTAGTAAATGGTCTGGCGATAATCATGCTTACGCTTTGGGCTTCATTCTTTTATTGAAGAATTTTTACAACATCTTTTGCAACATGACCCGTTTGTTTGCATTGAAAACATACTCGTAATGTCTGTTTTGGTTTTGCACATTTTGAGGCAAGATGTTTCGACTTCAAATAATTGTAGCACTTGATTTCGCTTATGTTTTTATTCAATTTTKTCGGACGTTCACTAGTACCGGACAAAGCGCACGAATTGTTTACGAGTAAAATTCTCGAAAATTTGATTATTTCGTGAAGAAGTTCATTTGCGTCTACATACTATTTTGCGACAAGCTTTGCACAATATTTATATTGGATAGTCCCACGATTATTGGCTCTCTTATTTTCGGGAAAGTCAGTTTTAATTTTTGTCACAGATGGAACTTATTATGAAAGTAAGTTGAAACGGACTCACCGTGCAGCTGTGTCTATCTTGCATCTGCCGCCACCACTCCGTTGTGTTTACTCTAATTTCAAAGGTCTTTCTGAATTGAGTGACAAAATCTATCCACGTTTTGATTTCCAAACGGTGTACGTCGTACCATTTTCTTGCTGCTCCCACAAGATGGCTCGCAGCTGTTTCCAGACAAAATTCGTTGTCAAACGTACACGTGTCGCCGTACGACTCGACCTGTAAAGTACTGGTGCGGCCATAAAAATGTTGCTGCATTCAAACCAATGCAGTCCCATGCGAATGAATATAAACCTTTGTCAATGGCCTGCCAATATCGTTTTGTAGGAAATATGTAATATATCTAAATTCATCGCGTTTAGAATTCCGATATATAATTCTAGTTTTGTAATATTATTTTTCCCTCTGGGCAATCTCAGATTAGTCTATTCTAATATTTGTTCCAATTTTTCTGTGGGAAATTATAACAAAAAAGTTATTTAATTCTTTATTTATTCTGCCATGAATCAAAGATGCTTTGTAGCCATCTATTAGCACACCATCATTAAATTGCCATTCTGTACAGTGTGTAAACACTGTGTCAGAACTAATTTCGTCGTTTTCGCCACTGGAAGAACTTTCTGAAGATTCAGAATCTTATAAACTTTCTAAACTTCTGCAAGTAGATGTGCTTTGCTGTTAATTAGTCATACATTATTATTCTTTTTTAAAAGTCGAATAAATATAAGTAAAAAGTATTTAGGAAAAATAAATCTTAATTGAAAAATATAGATGTTCGATGGGGTCCAAGGGTCATTATTCATTATACTTTAATAATCTACTTTCGTGCACTATTTTCGTTTTACCTCTTTGACGCCCAATTTGTAACTCGTAATTCACATTTCCAATTTTCCGAATAAGGGTATAAGGTCCAAATCAACGGCACATTAACTTAGGACTTTTTCCTTTTTTCTTACTGAAACTTTGACTTTCTTTCCGACTTGAAATTGCAAACGAAAAATACAACGGCATTTGATAACATCTATGGTTGCTTGATTAATGTTTTTGACTTTATCAAAAATATCAAAATCAGACTATTAAATTTGGAGATCGTTAGTGTATTTCCAAACCAGATTAAGAACGTCAGTTTCGCCAACAACCTTATCCATAAGTTCAACCAGCTCGCTAAAACCCAGCGGATACTGAGCGTTTTCGACTAGTTCCCTGAGTGGTTGCAGTAATTCCGGTGTGGGCGTCAGACTCTCTGTTGACTCACATGATTTTATTTTCTTAGGGTGTGGTGTGTCAAAAACGTCATCATCTTCTGCATGGGAATCAGAGGATCTCGCGCAATCCGGTACAGGGGTAGTGTCGTCTGTGGGTGGTCTCTTAGAACCCACGTCGGTGTGTGAAACATTAGGGCAATCTTGAACAAGGTGCCCAAGTTGTCTTAAAGCAAACGTCATCAAAGTTTAGGAAAATGTGATAATTGGTGTGTTCGAATTTCAAAACAAGGTAAGAGGGAAGATCAATCGAATCCTCCGGTTGAACGTAGACCTGACTGCGAAAACTTAAAAACATGTTTGAATTCTTCGTGGTTCAATGCGGCCTTCAGAAATGACATTCTCTTTAACTTGAATTGTAGGGTGCTCAGAAATTGTTTGGTCAACGAACGATTTGTTACTCAAGTATATGCAAATACGATCGTAGGACATTTTAGATGCAAAACAAACATTCTTCGGCGCAACTATATCAGCTATAGCCGCAACATAATCAACCAACTTTAGATCTGTAACGGCACCAAGCACAATAGCTTGGTCCTTACTTGGAAACAGAGACGCAGAAGTCTCCATTCTGATTTAAATATAATATAAAAAAATAGAGGATTTTATCTACCCGCCAACCCGCGAGCGCAAAAAGAGACACCTCGATAACTAGCCTCCCAAAAAAAAAAAAACCTGATATCTCGCACTGCAAACAATATCGACGGGGAGATAGGAGCTGATCGTGGATACAAGTGAAAAGTATGCCAAAATTGGAATAGACTCACCGAATTGCAAGTCAACAAAGACGGAGCGACGAAAAACGATCCGTTCACCTTCACTTCACAATTCGATTTTAGATGATGAATCAGCAAACTATAGTTTCGAATGAAAAGTGTAATAAACATTAACACCAATTTAAAATATAAAATAATCCTGGCTTGGTTCCAGCTTCACTGGACAATTTCTTTTTATTTTTCTTATAATTTTATGCTTTAAATTTGCTGTAATATCTCAACTAATAATATAATATTCTATTAGTTGTTCACTTTATCCATTCTCTTGAACACACTAAGTCCTCTGGCTAGTTTGCTCATTTTATTTTAGTCTCAAAATAAATGTAATTAAGTGAATGCCTAGTGCGTCAAAGGCTCTATTGCATTGACTTGAAGTGGTCAAATGCGTAGAAAATGTTACTCACTACCTATGCTCACTATGCCTGCGTGCCATCTACTTATTAATTCCTTAAACAATAACGGATTCGCGGTTCTATATACTGTAATGTCTTTTCTTTTACTATTATTTACTTATTTAAACCGGGCGCCACCAACTTTGTCCTAAAAGTTGGAGAAGAACTATTTGGAGATGTTCTCCAGGTCTACACTACATAAGAATGCCTTTCCGCCCAGCTTTTATACAGTGGAGAGGAATGGGGAGGTTCGATTTAATTAAACACATGCGATTGAAAAGAGAAATTTATTTAGTAACTATAACAACAGTAACAACAGATAAAACAACAAACTTTACAAAACAAACTCTAAATCGAACCTAGTGAACCCTAGCCCTCGGAGAAGAGGTCCTCCGCGGGTGAATTTTGAGGGGAGAAGTCCCGTCGGTTGCTTTTCCTGAAGAGGTCCAGGAAGTGACACCACCTGGAAGAAGTCCCAGATGTTAAGCCCTTACCACGGAAGGGATCCC